TCGGTGCTAGCGGGGCCCAGGAGGGGTGCGCCCAGCCCCTCCTGGGTGGGCCGGCATGGTCCTGCCAGCCTTGCAGCGGCCTGGGGCCAGCCTCCTCCGTCCTTCGCCGGTGCTGCTCAGCCCGCACCCCTGGTTCAGTTCCAAACTGTGGGCTGGACACTAGGGTGGCCATCGTATACAGGACAGCCGGCTGTCCTCTGTCCTCTCCTGGGGGAGATGCAAAGCGCCTGCTCTGCCTGACTAGGCCAAGCAGTCACCGAAATTCTGCCCCATTGGCCTGGGGCATGAAAACAACCTCCAGAAGCCCCCGACGGCTCGTCCAGGCTGGCAGCGTCTCCGGAGAAAGCCAGTCCCGAGGCTAGGACAGCTGCTAGCCTGGCCGCATCCACCAGCATCGCAGCGCCTGGGAGATGCCGGGGTGCCGGTTCAAGGAGCACGGAGCGGCCCGCTGCACACACCGCTGTGATTCGCTAACACTGGGGAGGGGAAGGCTGGGAGGCTGCTTGCTGCTGGGCCCTTTATGATGGGGTCTGAGCAGCATAATTCATTCTGGAGTGGAAATGTGGGTCCGGTGAGGCTCCGTCCTGAGTGAGCAATGGCACTAACCATTCAAGAGCTGTTTGCACGCGCTCGGATGGGGACGGCTGACTTGCCCCTCCTGGAACAGGCCTGTTAAATGAGGGCTTGCACAAGGCTAAGGGCGGGTGGAGATCCCAGGCGCGGCAATGCTGAGAACAAAGCCCTGGCGGCGCTGGGTTCCCCCCTGCACAAGCCGAGGGGAAGTGCAAGCGTGTCAGATCTCCAAGGAGACCACAGAGCGCAAGGCACAGGGGGGTGGTTAGAAATATTGCCAGGGCTTGTTTTTCAAAGGACACTTGTGCCCAGGCATGCCAGCCCCCAAAGGATTGGGGTAATCGCTTGGAAAAGTGAGCCAGACCCCCAGCTGGGGTAAATCAGCAGAGCTCCATCACATGCACCATTTTACTCCAGCCTTCATCTGCAAACATCATCCAAGCATTGGTGGAAATCAGGAGTGAGAGTCAAGAGAGGGTGGGTTTCTGGGGGCCTGTGCCGCTGGAGAGCCGTCTTCCAGAGGGAAAGCAAAGCTGAGGCTCAGCCCACACATGGATCCCACGACCATCTTCCTACAGACCGGGCCATATTCCACCCTGGTTAATTACCTTCTATTTTAGGTACTTATCCAGCGCACCCGACCTCCGGAGCACCTCCCATCTTCAGCGCACGTATCCTGACCACCCCGTGAGCAGGGCAGGGCTGTTGTCCCCATTTTGTACTTGGGAACTGAGACACAGAGAGACTAAGTGACTCACCCACGGTCACAGAAGGAGGCTGCAGGACTTTGAACCATGGTCTTTAGAAGTGTAGGCCAGGACCCTACACGCCAGACCGTGTTTCCCTCAAAGCAAGGCCCTCCTAAACCCCTCTGCCACTCCAGCTGCGTTTAAGATGAACCCTGCCAAACTGTGAGCAACAAATCAAACACGTGAGCAACAAATCAAACACATTTCATCATACAGCACATTTCATCTGCTCGCCACACAGCAACAATGAGGGATAAGTAGTCCTTATTGAGGATGGATAAACTGAGGCACAGAAAAATGGACTGTCTTGCCCAAGTCAATGGCACAGCTGAAAACAGAAGCCTGGCCCACTGCCACCCACAGGCATTCTCCAGCCCAGGAGATATTACATTTATGACAGGTCGCAAATGGAAAAGCCATCTGTGACCCATTAAAAATGTCAGCCAGTCTGGGCCAGAATACCCAGGCATGAAACAAGTTCCTAATTGTTCTTCCCCTGTAGCTAGCGCTGCCCACCTGGCCAAAACTCAGTCCGATGTGAGCGCCTTCACTACAAATATTTTCACTTGCCTACAGGATTTCCCCTCTTCTCCTCCCAGAGAGCTGAGTACTGTTATTCTGTTACTGTTAAACAGCAGATGTACCGCCCAAGAGGTGGCTGCATGGATGAAAATGGCTAGCTAGTTAGTGACGGCTGGCTATACCAAATCCAGCACTGGTGCCTGAGTCCCTAGAACTCATAAGGATGCTCTTCATATAGCTACTAGTTAGTAAATAGCTACTCACTAACTAGTATAGTTAGTAAATAGCTACTAACTGCCATGTCTGAGACCCTCCCCTGGAAAGCGCTAGGGGAGGGCAAGCAGTAGTAGCAATCTTCATTACTATGTATTAACAAAGAAAACACTGTACAAAATGCATTTTCTTTGTTAACGCACATGAATGAAGATCGCTAATACTGAATGTAAAACAACAGCACCCAGAAGAGGGAGAGACAGTGCTTGGAAAAGGTTCGAGGGCAATTAAAATGTAGGGCATTAACAAGAGTCTGTTATGGAGACAGAAAAAAGAGCTCCCCAGGCAGAGGCCCACAGCGAGGGAGCTGTTTGCAAAAGGGAAAGGGAGCAGAAGGGAGGGGAAAGGGTCTTACCCGGCAGTGTCAGTACACGCTGGTCTCTGCATTGTCATTCAGGCTTCCCCCTGCCCCACACACTCTTCAGCTCGGTGCGCAGTTCTTAATCATATGACTGACAGCTAATATCAGAGCTGTCTCGGGTGTCACAGCAAATGGGCCAGATCCTGATCTCAGTTCTGTCACTGGAAACCCCATGCAACAGCTTTGCATCCATGCAGCAAGGAACAATACCAGCCTCCTGCACCAGAAACAGCACCCACCACACTGAAAGACCCCACCCGGGGATGTCTACTATGGTTGCTCCATTGGGACCTGCCGCCCACTTCTCCACGGAGGACTGAAAGGCAGCCCGCTGCTTGCCCACCTTGCTGCAGGGGCAACGGGACTTGTTCAAGAGCTGAGCTCCAGCCTGGATCTGAGTAACTCAAGCCACATGCACCGATGAAGAATCAGAAGAAGATGCATCATGGCTGTTGCCTACGTCCCATGCTCTCACTCGGTCTCTCCATGTCCACTCCCAACCCCTTCTGTCCTCACACCCACATATCTTTCATGCTTCTCAGTCCCCACTTGGCCCATCCAGCCTCCCTCCTCAGGGTTTTGTGACAGGGATAGGAAACGTCTCACTGAAGTGCAGCTTTTATTACCCCTCATTCTGGGAAAAGGGCCTGACTGACAACGGGGCTGAATGGTCTGTACAGATGCTGGCCCTTTCAGCAGGGATGCTCGCTGGCAGGATGGGGCATTCAGCTTGGGGCCTGGCTCTGACTGCCAGCAAGGAGCACTGGTGGCAGTGGCAGCTATGATGAGGCAGACTCTCGCCCACTGAAAAATGACATCAATCATCGGAGTGAATGCCTTGCAGTCGCAACTGCCCCAGGCTCGATTACAACTGGCGTCCGCACAGGGCATCCACATCCCACAGAGATATTCCATCCCTGGAGATGTTCGTCCTCCCCAGCAGCTCCTCCTCTCTCTCCCTTCCTGCTGCAGCCCCTCCTGGTCATTCCACCTCCAAACATGTCCCCCTCAGCTCCCTCCACCTGTCTCCTCTCCCTCTGCTCCTGCCCCTCTGGTACTTAACTGTGGCTTCATGATGTGCCCAAGGGAGGCAAAGGGCCTGCAATGCCAGGGTAGATTTCAGTGCAGGGATTAGGACTCTTTCCCAGTGATTGCTCTGCAAAGTCACCCTAATCCAGGGCTAAAGAAGGGCATATTTTTAGAAATCCTCTGAGCACAGGAATTTCCATGCCCACTCAGCCTGGAGCTCCTTCTTAACATGCGCCAGAGCACCTCAAGGGGAGTCCCAAGGGAGAGGTTTATTAAAGACAATCTTTTTGGGGTGCCTGTACTATCCTGGGACTATAACAAAACCATCCACAGCTGCTGGCTCTGGGCTGCGCACACATGGCACTCACATCAGCGAGAGGCAGGGTGTTAGGATCTCCAGTTGGGAACAGATCTCCGGGCAGGGCGGAGGAGGAGAATGCTGCTCCATGC